ACCATTACCCGTGGCCACCGCCGCCACTGGCCCACCTCCGATAACAGAGCCCACCGTCTTCACTCCAGAACCACCTCCAGTCACGTCGCCGCCAATCTTCAGCCCCACCATGCCCTGCTCTAAGCTATTCATACCTGGCGCCTTATTTAAGGTGTCGCTGGGGAAGCCCGTTTGCCCATCGGGCACTAGTGTGCCACCTAAAGAACTAGGTGGGTAACTGTAACTGCCCCCGTATGCAGAACTCTGAGTCTGCTGGCCCTGGGAGCCGCTCGTACCCCAGGCGGAAAACGCGGGATTTTCAGGGAAAAAGTTAAAGCGGTGTGGATAGATGCTACTGCCCAGACCCCCAGGCTGTCCAAACACAGTGTCATGCATGAAGTGATGGTCTCCATTACTGAGGGGGGCGTACGGAGTGAGGTACGGGATCGGCGGGTCTCCACCGGTGGACCAGGGGGCCTCGCTGAGGGGGTACGGGAACCCAATCGAGGGGGCATAGTAGCTAGACAGGTATGGGTCAGTCATGGATTGGTAACTGTTATTCTGGGGGAATACCAGAAATACAGATGTTAGAATTAATAACGACAAAATGCAAACTAAATATACTAATTTCAAATAGAACAAAAACAGATTAGACATGAAACTGCAGATGTGAAACTGTAAGAAACACACTATATTTCTATGGAAATTCTTTTAAACTCCTGAACAACTTAAAAACAATGATGTTATAAAAATATTATACAATCAGTTCCTTTTAGCAATGTACTGTGGTTATGGTAATGTACTGGTATTTAAAAAAAATGACATACAAATTTAGTGGTTAGCACAACAGCAAAAAAAGTTATTTTAGAATGATACATTGGTGAAAGCACTGTGCTGATTTTACTTGCATAATGCGTTAAATATCACGTATTATTTTTAATATCTAAACATCCTTACAATACGATACCTCAACGGACTATCAAAATTGTGTAAAATAATGAGACTTGTTTTTAGAGAATGCATGTTAAAATAAAATGTTTTTCTCATTTCCATACCCTAAGAAAAACAAACAGACATTTCTCACCGGATTAGACTGGCCAGTGAGGTATGGTTCAAAGTCATTGTCGTGGACCGTTTCCTTCTGATGGAGAGAGCCATTTTGCACTAAAAAAAAAGAATGATATTTAACATCAGGATTACTTTTCAATTTACCACATCTGATAATAAACCCAAAGCATGCGCTAAACCCAACAGCCCTCTCTTTCCTGTGAAAAATATCACTTAACCAATGCTGCTATGCCATTCACATTTTAGATCTATAACAAATGATAAACAACTACTAGTAATATGTATTTCACCACACACTGATCTCATTGACTCATTCACCACATGTTCTGTCTGAGTACCACAATATTACAGACATACAGTCATGGATGAAGAGGACCATCTAAAAATCACCCAAGCCCAAAAGACACAAATACACAACTACAGTAGTTAATGCCACAGAGTTATGAACATTATCTAATTAATGTGCTCAAAAGCCAAGCTCTCAGTGCCAATAGATGTGTCGGTGTAGTGTTAATCCAACAGGAGCAGTTCTGGACTCCAGGAGGAGGTATATGCCCCATCAGGTGATTGAATGAGCTCTCAGACAACATTTGGATGATGTGCGAGAAACACACCAACCAGGCTTGACTTGATACAAGTCACAAAGAAAGAATGCCCAAATTTTACTAAACAGACCATAGCTAAGAGCATCTACTATGGTGAAATTAGATTCAATGTGAATTAATGAGAAACAATATCCTGGCCGTTTAATTTATAAATCTGTAAAGACATATTAAAAGGCAAACTTACCTTTAGCGTCTTGCCCTTTGGATGTCTTCCCATTCAGTAAGTGATCAGAGATGGATAGAAACAACAAGATAACACATTAACACATTTGAATCGTTGTTTTAAACACAAGCTCTTCGTGCTTAACATGTAAATACTTCATGCTCTTAATCCACATCGACTCCATCAGAGCATCATCAATAAATCAATGCACAATCAGGGGTCGCTCGACACTCGTTATATTAAAAAAACGGGGGGCTAACATTGACATTTATTTAGTCAATCAAGTATGTTAATATTCATTCACTCGGACAGCTAAAGATTCCGTCGACCACGCAGATCAGCCCAAGTCCAGAGAAAACTGGTTATAACTCTCGGAAGCTGATGAGAGATTGTGTAGTTAAATGAATTAAGGAATTAAGGAAACGTCTGTTTGGACAGAGGAAACGCGATGTGATATTCAATTAAACGAGTGGAAAAAATGCTAACTCGTTAGCCATCGCGCTGGTGTGAAGCAAGGAGAGGCTGATGCCCGTCATGTCTCCGCAGAAGCGGCGGAGGCTGCACGCGCATTCCCTGCTCCTCCTAAAGGCCTTAGCGACGCCGTGCCACTCCAACCTACCTGTGGGTCAATACTGGTGGTAGACATAATTCATCAAGAGGGCCTCTTTAGATTCAGCAAGAGTCTTGCAAAGAAAAACTGAACCAGCAGCGAAGGTGCACGGCGTAACCCGAAGCCCGTGGGTTCCTCTCGGCTCCGTGCAGGCTGAACTGCGTTTTTTTTCAGCAAGTTCCACGACTTGATTCTGGCGATCCGGTCCTCTCGAGCGCACTAAAAGTCCAGCCTGAGGATGATTCCGAGAGTATTAGAGGCTCTGCGGGTTTGAGGTTTAATCCAATGCTGTCACACTCCGTGTGTAAATTAATTTCAAAGTGTATATATATATTTTTTCCTCTTCCCAGCCCGCAGTTATTGTGCACCTCTGTTCACTTCCGCCCAATGGCCGCTCCATCCGGGATCTGCGCGGAGGGACTGACGCCACATGGACCGGGTGGCCATCAACCTGAGAAAATTGGGGGGAAAGTTATTATTGCATACATATTTTATTTATCTTGGTAAATAAAATTCATTATTCAATCTAATAATTACATCAAGAGCTAAGTATAGTATATTTATGAAGTGCATTCTTTTGGCATTGACAGTATCTGTATCTTTATTATTAGGGGTCAAGACCATGGTCAAGACCCGAAAGGGGCTGCCCCTATTGTAATTGTTGGTTTACTTTATTTTTATCATCATCATTCTCATCATCATCATCATTATTATTATTCCTGAATGGGAGTCAATTAATGGCAGCCCTATAAACCATAGAAAATTCACACAGTGGTGGTATGAATCGTAATAGTGTAATTATGTTTGTAATAAATATTTAAAATAAAAAAACTAGCTGCTTCCTCCACTTGATCTTAGAAATATTACATCACATTCATTCCTCAGTCACACCTACCTGTCATATTCATTTATTATATGATTGTTGCATTGGGTTTTGTTTAATGTGGACAAAACAAGTGACTGTCATAAACCACACTGATAATAAAATGGGGATTTAATGAATATTACTCTTTTTTAATGAATTCTATAGTGGACTTTCAGCTGGTCTTTTCCTTTTTTTTCATGAATTCTTAAATATGTGCAAAGATGTCCAAAATAGCTACTTGAGGATTTCACATCAGATGTTGATGACAGGCTTGATGTCTTTTTCTCCAAGCCACATTAGACCATTTGACTGTGAAGACCATATTCTTTGTTTATAGTTCATAATTTTGTTTTATAACATGCCACCACTTACTTTTAACATTTACATTTTCACAGTTAAAGAATGTCATTAACAAGCACTGAGCACTCTTGTATCGCAGTGAAACCTCATGCTGATAAAGGGCATTCAGGGTAGCTAATTGATATTTAGATAGCTATTGATCTTAGTCGGAGATGGGTGGGATGGGGTTCTTTCTGTTTAATCCGTTTGCAGTATCTGGAACCCCAAAGGGAGCAGCTCTGTTTCAACATAACATAAAATAGGCTACTACACGATTTATACTCGATTAGATATTTTAGTTAAATTTCTTACACGTTTAATTAGCCTATGTGTTTCCATTTTGAAAGTGTTAGAGACAGAGAGCATGTTGGATTTGGATGGTGGTGGCTAGGATAATAAATGATTGTATCACATGGGATGTCAAACACAATAATGCCAAGTGTGCTTGCTTACCAAGATCATTAGTAATGCTTTTCAAAGTTCTGTTGGGGCATTGGCTACAGCAAGCAGTTGCCACTTACACAGATTCAAACACAACTTGCGTTTTTCTCATTTTAACCACAAGGTGTCAGTCTAATTTGAGTCGAATTGTGGAATTTCCTCGATTACATATCAAAACACTGACACAGAGACCTTAATCAAAGCTTTGGGTGTTTTTTTTTTCATTCAAAATGGGGTGTTTTTAATCAAATATTATTAAGATAATTATGTACTACATGCATAATTTAAGAAATCAAAATACGATACGACTCACTACAGTCAGCATTCAAAATACAGCGTTCAGTAAATATTTTATTTACATTTACAAAATGGGGTTTGATGTTCTGTATGTGCTACAACGTTTTTCTTTGGGCCATTAAGATACAGACCACTACATGCAGATATTATACTTGCTCTCTCTCCCATACTCAGAGACTGGTAGTTACTGGTAGTAAAGGAGACAGATATTGATCATTAAAAAAATAAACAGCATTTTGCTGTGTACTAGCCTAAAACAAGTGCATGTAAAGCAATTCATTCTTCTTCATTTAATCTTCAACCATTGAACTTAAAGAAATCTCTGCATTGTTTAAAGTCCTCTGATTTAAACAAAAATGTAGCCTACAACATTTCACAAAAAAAGTCACAGATTTAACAGATACAAAATAAAATAAAAAAGACAGAATTGCCAGAGGTAGGTAGCAAGAAGTCAGTCATGAAAATGTTTTACAGAAAAATCACCTCCTGAAAATAAAATAAATATGTAAGCATAAAAGCGTGTGAGGTTAATGGCTGTATGCTTTGGCTTTATTTATACAGATGCCTTGTGTCTTGCTTCTTGTAGTTCAACACCTTTAAAGTTTCAAGTTTGTAAGGGCAGAGTTAGGGTGCATCAATCTTATTTTCTAAATTGTTGTGTATTATTATGTTTATACATAAAAATACTTTAAAATCCATCTGAACTGGTTTCTGTTTTCACTACTTTCAATGCTTGAAGTCCTTTTCTGCTATCTCTTTCCTCTCTCAATGTTGACATCTGGACACTGTCACTTATACAAATCTGAAAAGCAACACAATGCAGACACAAAATTAGATTCACGTGAAGTAACAATATCGTTTGTTTAGGAAGACGAATAAGCGAAACATTATCCAAAATGACTTAATACACTTTTACAAGGTAAAAGACAAGGAAATGTATTTTACAAACATGTGTCTTCCTCTTCACTGAAGATGCTGACGATATAGCAGGCAAATACAAATCCCAGGGCCTACATGTACATACAAACAAACAAAGCAACAGATTAAGTCGCATACAAGTCACTTTTTTATGAGTGTCTGTGAATTTTTGTATTGTTGTATATGAATGTATCACAGAATCTTAAAGCTGAAGTATGAAGTGTTCATATTAAAATAGAGGTATGTCATTTTTTAGTAGCTTTGTATGTTATTTTGTTGGTTATCAAAAACTTGTTTTGTCTGACAACAGCATTGCCTCAACCAAAGGTAGATTGGGGGGAAAGTTCCGGAAACCTGTTTGAAAACAATCATTATTTCTGCGCACTTCAGCTTTAACAACTTTAACAGTTTTAGGTCCTTACAGAAATGAACAGTTGCAGGGCACTGTGCATAACCTCGATGTACTGATACTCTAACAAGCAGCTTAGTTCGGAGACAAGAGCAGGACTGTCCAAATGCTGCCATCTAGTGGTCGGGAGGTTTTTGTTCCCACAGCCCGGACCATTGTCCTTCCACCATGAACAATGAGATGAAAGTCCCAGTGACAGATAATCACTGTCCTATAAAAGTACAGCACAGAAATGCCTTAACACTTTGGATTTCAGTTGCATGGCTTTGTAAACATTACTGACTTTAATGCTGTAGTATACTGAGGAACAATATAGTGTCAATTTAAAACTTTGTTTAATCTCATCATTCATCTTTGGTTTCTAGAGATGATATCATTTCATACCAATGGCATGAATGTATGTGAACTTGGTCTAGCACTAGACTGACCCGTATGAGCAGTCCCATTTAAATTCGGCTCTTTACCTTTGACAGCCCTCCGAGGTCTAGATAAAGGCAACAGATAAAGATATTCCAAGTCACCCAAAACACGGTCCAGACTATATACTAAAAGAAAAGGGAAGGACACATAATGGTCATAAGAAAAAAAAAAGGAAAAAAATCACTACCATGCAAAAGCATTTTTTAACATTTAAAAAAAATTGCATTTATTTAATTAAAAGTACAGTAAAAACAGTAATATTATGTTATATTATTACAATTAACTGTAATAATTAAATGAATTATTTTCATATTTTTTCAATGTAATTTATTCCTGTAATGGCAAAAAAAAATTACTCCAGTCTTCAGTGTCACACGATCCTTCAGAAATAATTCTAATACGCTGATTTGGTGATCATGAAACATTTATAATATTGTCTGGAAACTGGGATACATTTTTTTACATCAAAAGAACAGTATTTATTTTAAACATTATAAACATCTTTACTGTCACTTTTGATTAATTGAATGCATCTTACTGAATACACAGTATATTTATTTGTTTATTTTTCATAAATACGTAAAAAATATATTATTACAATTAAATTAATCATATTAAATTATTCAATTAATAAATTATTTCAGTTTAAGAAATGAATGTACGTATTTTTGTAATGTTGTTATGTATATAATATCAGTATTTTATAAATAATATTTATATTATTACAATTATTGTTGTTTTTTATACAACAAGTTTTATTAACTGTAACACAATTTAACGTACTTTATTAGGTTCAAAAGTAAAAAAAATTGAGATAAATACTGTACACACCAAAACTACATAACGGGGCTTATACTGGACTGTCCCAAACAAGCCCAATATCACCACAATGATGTGCAGGAAGTTGACAAGGATAGGCGCCCACTGGTAACCTAGAAAATCAAACACCTGTCTCTCCACAGCAGTGATCTAGGGAGAGAAAGACAGAGTATGATATGAACAAGATCTCTACACACTGCGAAAACAATAACAACACCAGCTACTTTGCATCTACACGACTAAAAAAAACACCATCATGCTGCTGCCCCAAACACAATAATGATGGAGACCCCATCTCGCTTTCCCAGAGACACACAATCAAAACCCCCACCTCTGTTTTTCCACATGCTGGCTTTTTACTCAGGGTTGCCAGGGTAACAGAGCCAAAGGGGGTACAAAGCTTGTGACAGAGAAAAAGAGAGTGAGAGGTGGAGAAAGAGAAAAGGAGGGGGAAAGGTTGAGCGAGAGGAGATGAGGGCTCTCCTTGGAGGTCAGAGGCTCAGTGAGGGGAGATGTATGATTCAGAAGGGAGGTGCTGGGTGTGGGGGATGCTGTTCCTTTCATAAAGCTTCACTGCAGCAGTCATAAACCCTCTCTCGCGGCCACTAACCACCCATCCCCCATACAATCTCTCTCTGTATGCCATGCTGCTGTATACCAGCTGTTCTCAGAGGTTCCACCTCAAATCATCCATTTGTAGCATGTCTTCACCACAGTCCCCATCCGCTGTGTTCCAGCACGAGCTGTGTTGACTTTAACGGGCCAAACATAAAAACATAAAACTGTGAGACGTTCCACAGATCGCTATCCCCTCTTGGTAATAGACATCTGCATTAAAATACATTTACAGTCTCAGACCATGCAGTACATACGTATCACTATCAAATCTAATTGATCAACGTGAACAGTGATCAACTCATTTGAAAAATTTAAAGGAAATTGCACAGCGACAGTTGCAGAAACTGTTGATACTGTATGAAGGATGAATGTTCAGCCAAGACTAGTTGACATGGTATTGCAGACATGCTGCTGCAGACCTCTCTTCACTGGCAGTAATAGGTGTGAAATAGTGAAATGAATTTGTTAAACCGATTAAACCTTACAGCTATGTTTTCTTTTGCGAGCCAACCTGAGATCAAATGTGTACAACTGTAACTGCATTACTCTGTTCTGCTCTGTCTCACTGAATCTTCATCATTATTAGGTGACTTTCTTTTCAAATGGCTGTTAATGAAACCCACTGAGATTATAGTCCAAATATGATGCCATACAAAAAGTGATATACTGTATATATATATATATATATATATATATATATATATATATATATATATAACCTTTTTCAATCTCTATTTCTCTCTCACACACACACACACTCACACTCAAATAGGCAATAGGAAAAAGGGAAAGGTTAGACAGTAAAGCAAAGGTTAAACCAAAGCTAAAAGCCATACAAAGGTTAAGCAGAGTAACAGCAGGAATGTAGGTCACTGTCTGCTGGGGCTCAGACCACAAGTGTGCAACCAGTGAAGTGAGATAACACGACAAGAAGAATCCAATATACCACTTTATGTCAGAGGAGAAAATCATCTCACATCACTGAAAGACCAAGTGCAATCAATGAGGAGTGATAATGATAAATATGCAGTAAAACACACTTAAAATGCGCATACAACATTCTCTCGGTATCACATAATGCAGTTGATTCACATCTCACATTTATTTTATGGTCTATCTCTAATGTAAGAATGAAATTGCAGTTTAAATAAGTAGATCATAATCTATGCTGGTTTTATGAGTTCTACGAAAGGGATAAATGGATAGGTGGATGATGGATATGAATCCTTTGAGAGAAATGATGGTGCATTAGCAGCAAAACAAGTCAACAATGATACAGGTTGTGTTACAGGACAGTGTAACACATACAGTAGATACAGAAATGAGAACAAATAACAAAATATGTTTAAATATAATCATATATATAAATACACAAATATGTGCACAATAAACACAATACACAAAGCAATATTCTACACACTAATGTTTTTGCACTAGCAGTTCTGATTTTGTGTATGAGATATTAACATGTATTATAAATGCGCATCAAACGATGTAGTTTCGTTTGTGTTATTTCACAATACTACAATAATTATTATTTATAATAGTCCCATAACTGTCCAAACGTGTTTATGTACAGGGTAGTTCAGAGGTAAAGAAAGACTTCCAATATAGCCTACACAAAAGTGTGTACATGTATAGGCTATGTCTGTATAATCGGCTAATTATAAATGGAAAACTACGGTTATTGTGGCTCAAAACTTGAGTTCTTTCAAACAATAAACAATTTGAATGACTGCAGACTTTAAGACGAAATGTTCAGAAACTATTCTCGAAGTTAATGTCAAAACGTCAAATGTCATAAACAGTGTTTTTATATCACACATAAATAAATGGGATACAAACCTGCAACGAGTAGAAGCTTGTTTTTACCACAATTCTAATAACGCACTTACCAGTTGAAGAGCGCAGAAGAACATCAACATGCACCTCGCCGAGCAGCAGCCCATCTTCACTATTCTCTCCGGTGTCAACGTCAACTCTAAACGGTCAATAAAACGGATGCATTTTGAAGATCCTCAGTATTTACTCGAGGTATTTTTCAGTATGCTTCCCTTACAATGGGCTGTGATCAGAGCTGTACATCGCGCTTAGGGTTAAAAACAGAGTATGAAGCAGTACGCGGGGGGACAGAGGGTGAGACCGGGGTTGCGGGGTAAATAAAATGGGGTGGGACCTTTAATATAAGAGCCACCACCTTCTGGTGCTTTGTTGAGAGGGAGCGGCAGGTGGAGCACTTGCGGCTGGAATAAAGAGTTGGAAACTGATCAACATGCACCTTCATTTTAGTTCTGACCATTTACGCGACTATTTGTTTTAAATACTCAGTTATTATGCACTATCGGCTTTGCTGCTTTAGGTGTTGAAACTTCTTGGTGAAAAACATCTTAAAACCACGATCGTCTCCTATTGTTTGGGGAATATTTGATCTTCCCTCCCAGCTAAACCATCTGAGCACTTGCTGGGCAGACTGGAACCTGGTTAGACCAGGTAAACCCAGTAAACTGGTTTAAAGCAGGGGGCAGCTAATATTGAAGTCGTGGCTTGTACATACACTTTGCATTTGTTTTATACACATTATTTTCAGAGGCAAATTTGAAAAGTGAATGATTTACGTAGAAACCCAAACTTGTAGAGATTGTTTCCACGGCTGACAGATCCAGCGTTGCTGCCTTGCTGGTCACCAGCATAAGGAATGTTTTGTATGCTAGGACCAGCATGGGATGCTGGTTTGCTGGTGAACCAGCTATACCTTCTCAGTTTTGCTTGCATGAGAACAGCATGACAAAGCTGGTCCACCAGGCCAGCAACAGCTAGCCAGCATAAACCAGCCTGGACCAACATGAAATCCAAGCTTAATACTCCGGAAGGTTATGGTTGTCCAAGCTGCTCATTTCTGTTCAATGTAAAGGAATGGTAATGGCTGTCAGGCAGAATTTTCAAGGTAAGATTTTCAGTGAGTAATTACATTTCGGCCTGTTCCTCACATAATTGTTATGAGTTCAGAAGACTTATAATGGCATGTCATTTTCTTGATGCTATCCACTTACATTCTATGGACTTCTCGTTTTGTGTTCCATGGAAAAATGCCATATGGGTTTGTACACTGTCAAAAAAGTTGCTGCCTTAAATTGTTTAAGTATACAATCGATTTGGATGTTTAAGTTATTTCAACTTAAATTACATTATGACTTTAGTTGAATCTTGTATAACTTTAAAAAGTTGTTAATGTATAACAATGTAAAACAAAAGCAATACATATAGGCCTATGTTGTCATAACTTATTGTTCATATAATTTTTTTCACAGTGAAACAACAACGATGCCAGAATATCGTTTTACTTACCTCAGCAAACACTGCAAACTCAATTCAAACTCAAATCTCAGAACATCCTATGCTGAACTGCACCATATGCAGTTATCAATGGGGTTTGTGTGCATATGTTTGTGTTTAGACTTCTAAGTATGTTTTTTTTTCTAGATTTATAAAGTAATTAAGATGTCAGCCCTGAGGTTGCAATTTTCATCATTTGGACACCCTACTGGACTAGCCCCTGCAGTGCCCAGCCATGTTCAGCACATATCACCCACCTGAACACAGCTGCCTGCTGCAGTGATATGCTTACTGCACGCTCCATAGTCCCACAGATGGGTAATTAACAGCAGGGTGCAGGGGTTTAGGTCTGTGTGTCTCAGTTTGTGCTGATAAACAAATTTACTATCTTTAGAGAGAGCGCTGTATTAGATTGGTGGATTGGCACCTAGAACATGTTTGTGAATGCCCTTTTGTGCCCATTAAATATATGTCTCTGTTTGTGTAGGCTAGATTCTTGTTATGCTGTAACATGAAGGTTGATTAAATGTTCCTATAGTGCGAAATAAACTAACATTAAATTAACAATTTCTACAGCAAGAAGACACTGTGTACACTTTTAGTGGCATCGATGGCTCTATGAAGAACCATTTACTTTCCAGTAAAAGGTTCTTTAGATCATTATAATGTTCTTCACACTAAGAAAAAATTGTTCTTTTAGGAACGGTTCACTGAAATGTTCTTTGGCAATGCAGAAATGATTATTCCATGGTATCGTTGTGAAACCCCCCTTCTGGAACCTTTATTTATATGAGTATTGTGTTCTACTGGTCAAGCTCAACCAGTCAACCCTGTTACCCAAGTTATTGTAGAAATGTGGATTTATTTTTATAATTAATTTTACATTGTCATGCATAAAACAATAGAAAATTAATAAAAAAAACTTGCTCATATGAAGTACTTTTAAAGTGTCATGAATGATAGTGAATATGGTAATCACTACATAGCCTACACTACAGTACTTTCTGTACTTTTCAACCACTGGCTGTCATTCCCAGACTGGCCGCGCAGTGGCGCAAAACGCGAGCTCCAAATGCCAATGGAGTGGGCACCGCGCTGTCATATGGTACTGTCGCCGATTCTTGAGATAGGATTGAGGCTTGAGCAGGCTCAACGGAGGCAGCCGTGACTTGGTCTTCATATCACAACCGAACCTCGACTTGGAATAACCCAGCTGTGCGTTTACACCTTTCGTCTTGTGAGCGACGCGGCATGCAGCGCGGGAACAATGGGGATGGTCAGAGGTTGCGCTGAGGACGCCAGATGCCATACCGCACATATGTCCTCCCTAACATACGAATCCAGGCTCAACGCAGGTTATTGATTATGCTTGCGGGGTCCGATCGGGAGCCAGACGTTTCAGCAGCAGCAGAGAGAGTGCAGCGAGGTGGATGCTGCGCGGCGACGCGCCCCCTGAATCCCTAAACTGAGTGAGTATCTTCAGCAGCATCTGTATACGGCTCTCGTCTCATTGGCATGCACTTCTGCCTACGTGCTGGCCATACAACGGAACCCTGTATTAAACGCATATCAGAATGTATAGCAGGATTATTTGCTGTTGGAGGTTGGAGGAATACGCGTCCGGTTTACATGATATTAATGACTCGCATCATAAGTCAGCAGACACGTGTGCAACAGCTTCAGTGTAGCCGCATTACCCTTTGTGATTCGACGCTTAATTAAACGGTTTATAAGCAGGTTGTGGCAGACTCTCTCACTCGGCGGAAACCAGCAGTTCAGCACTGCTCGGTATCATATTTAATACCGTGAATTATGGAATCAATTAAGGGAGCAGCAACATAGCCGCTCATTTATTTGTTTCCCCTCAATTAAAAGGGATTTCTTTCGACGGAAACCTCTTCCAGTCTGCTGTGGGAGCTGACCTCGCGGACGCACCTGCACTGCGCGTGCATTTCCACTTTGATCTTGTGAGATTATTTCCTGAGTGCATCAGTGATTGGCGGGACGATACCCTCGGGAGCAACGAATTACTCGTGATGAATAAGAGGTCGACCGCTGCGGGCCATAACATATCATGCATTCGCGCTTCATATGCGAGCCGGGAAAACAATGGTGTTGCACAGTATACTGGCATACTTGACATATAGCCTACAGCAGTGTTTCAGTTGAAACAGCTCACGTTTTAAAGTTCATATGGGCAAATTGAATCAAAATAGTACTTATCTTGCTAACCTGTTGTGTCTGAATAATCAGCCGCAGTAAAAGCTGACTGATCTCCTGTCTGCAAAAAAAGGGCGCAGTAGGCTACTTTAAAGTCCCCATGAAATCAAAATTGAAGTTTTTTTGGCTTTTAGTATGTAGGCCTATATGTTTGCCTTACTGTTATCTATAAGCTAGTGGCTCCAAAACCACGGCAAAAGATATTTAGATTTAGAATATATAAGCATTCAAAACTTAGTCTCTCACTTCCGCCGACATGGATCAATGATTTTGATCACATCACTTTGCACTTCAGCTTCTCATCAGATTTTCTGTCCAATCAAATGTTCTCAAGAATTTAAAGCGTCCTGTCCCATATATCTATAGTCTTTGCCCTACATTATAAAATCGGTCACTTGTTCTACCATTTACTGTTTTCTACATGGTGAATGGCACATTGTGCGCTATGTAGTGGATAGGCTCAATTCAGACAGTGTGCTTTCCAATGAGGCGAGTGAAGTCTGGTTTCACGTAAGTGTCACGCGAACTGCCGCAGCGCACACACAGTCTGCTCCGGTCCAGAGACACGATAGCACAGAGCAGATCATATGCGCGAGTCAGCACATACCAGAAAACATATCGGACCCATTTGAATTCTGCACAGAATGCTATATTTTAAAGCAATATGGAGGGGATTAGGACGAGAAACGGTTAGAGATTAGGAGGAAACTGCGGCTTTACCGAGCTCAACGGCTCTGGCCGAGCTGTGATATAAACTAAATTCTATTGGTTTCTACTGTTCGATATGTCCCTCCCAGTCTTCCTGTTTCAGTGGAAATAACGTCAACACATGTGACATGAAATAATGCCACTTCAGTGGGACTTTAAGATGATGATGTGTAATTTGGGCACGAGACGAAGCTCACTGTAAGTTGAGGTCGCCCTGGAAAAGTCTATAGACTAAACAGAACATTAATGACTTTAAACTAGTCTATTTTCAAATTGTGGATGAATATTTTAGGTGAACAAATTGTTTCCCCTTACATTCATCCACTGACTCATTTTGTTAACACCGTTTCTTTAGCGTGTACGACCCAATACGCTGATTTCACGCAGCCGCCATTTTGAAATCGAAAGCGAGGCTCCGGTGGGAAGAACCCCGGAAGTACAGATAGACAACAATGCCATGACTACCAACCTGAAGCTGCTGCCACGATTTACACTATTGGATGTTAATATCCAATATAGGATATGTATATAGTTCGTTCCTGCTTCTTTTTTTACGTTCTGAATATATAAAAAATTATTGTATTTATAAATGAATTTCACTGTATATAGTCTAATGTATGAAAGAAATGTATACATTTTTAGAATAACTAATTTCTACATTAAACACAACAATACGCCATCGCATTCGCGACTCTCCTATGATTAAAAGCGACACTTCCGGTTTTCTTCCCACCGGAGTCAATTCAAAATGGCGGCTGCGTGAAATCAGCGTATAGCATTCGAGAGCGGCGTGTGAAGCGCCTCCTATACTGAACGAACTGCTCAGTGCAGCATCTCAACAAATATCTTCATGTGAGTCATTCTCGTTCTCGTTTCCGGAATCATTCAGTAATGAATGGGTCTTTCTAACAAATTGGTTCAATAATTCCCTCATCAAGAATAAACATACATGTAGCTGTAGCTTATTCGATTGCCACCTACTGGCCTAACAATGTAATTTGCAGAAAGGGCTACAGTTCGAATCTGAATGAATCTTTTTGTGAACGATTCAAAAGAATCACGTTTAAATTAATCAAATTGCCAACACTAGTGTAGAGAGGGAAGGCTTGCCGGATCAGACTGGTGATGTACCTGTCATCCATATAACAGACAGATGAAGGTTCTGTGTCATGTATGTGAGTTAGTTTGTGAGAGTGGCTGCAATGAATCAGACTGTTGGGGCCCAACTGCTCAGTCATATAAACTTCCTGTTGATTGGTGGAGACTGAAACAGATATGATTTCCCTACCCATGGCCGTGAGCATCAGAGAAAGCAAGCAGAATGTTCTGTACTGTCCAATCAATGGAAAAAAAATACAACATTGGCTCACATGTGATACGATGTAATGTCTGGTGGGGTAAAGAACGGTTTCCTATTTAAGATTGTGAAAATAATTTTTTGTCTAAAGAGACAAGGAGGCTGCACTTGCTTGGAAACCCTACAGTTGCAGGTTCTAATATAAACTAAGTATAATATACAGGTGATGCAATGCATAGCAAAATTTAAATTATTTAAATGACATTGACTCCAGCATTCAGAGTATTTTTAAACCCTAATAATTTCTCTCAGCTGTGTCTGCTCTTGCTGTGTCAGCTGTGCCTGGTCTTTGTGACTAAACTTGGTCATGACAGAGGAACCAGACCTGTCAACAAGACCCAACAAGCTGATCTTTGTCTTAATCAAGAACATTGAAGTCTTCTGTTTGGGAAACCTTTTACGTGAATCACATGCCTTGTTTTGTCACATCTGAAATGTGTTTCCTGAACCTCTTGTTTATCCTGAGGTGGCCTACTAGCTGAACAGAGTCTTCCAATTTTGAGAGAACCGTCAGAGATTTGCTGTAGGTCTGTTACGGTGCGATAAGGCCCTGCAGGCAGACATCCATTAAACTTGAGGCTCTGCTGAAGATACTGTGAACTGCAGAGGAGTTCCTTCTCTCAGTCTTATCGTGGAGCAGATGAGTGGTCAGATCATAGCTCCTCGCAGGAGGAAACATACACAGCCTATATCTCTCCTTGAACATAAGAGTGTGCGCATATTTGTGTGTTTGTGTCTGTGTTTTTTTTTTTTTTAGACCTGCAATATCTGCATGAAGAGCATTTGAAATTTGATTGCATGAAAATACAGGAAATCCAAATTTATTTGCCCCACATAGTTACATATTGAGTACAGATTGTGTGGGTGAATGTTTTCTTAGTTTGACAATGAAGGTCATGTGGAAGAGACCAGAATGATCAAACCAGAATGATTCACAGTTACTAGCAAAACTATCTCCACAATCTCTTAGCGAGAGGTCAGAAGGTCCTTGTCTCCTCAAAACAAAGGTCACAAGGGCAGGAATCTCTGGTGACCTTAAAATCTGCTATTTTCAGTCATTGTGTTTTGGTCTGTTTCAATTCAGCGCTGCAGGCTGTTCATGATACCAGTAATTTGTTTACATTGTTTTTTTTTTCCCCTTTCATTTTACTAATATGCTGAACAGTTTTTAAAATGGCAGATTATATTTAAATAAATAAATAATTACAATACTGTTATTATTTTAAAGCTGCTCCTGCTACTTTCTACAAATGTATTTGTTCTGATTTTCTTAAACAGTAGGATAGATGTACAAACATTCATCCTATGGTGTTAATGCTGATAACGGAAAATTATCAGCCTAAATTATTTATCTAAAACTGTTCAAAATATGTATATTTTTTGTCATTTAAATAAAACTGAAATTATGAATTTACATTACATTTTCTGAATAAAAAATCTGAGTGATGTTTGCTAGTGCAAGTGGAATATAAAAAATCACATGAATATAGGTGTAGTGAGTGGTTCCCAGGGTGTTGCTAATTCATTGTGAGTGTCTTTAAGAGGATTGCTATTCAGTTGATATATGGTGTTTTGAGTGGTTGCTAGGGTGTCTTTAGATGGTTGCTAAGAGATTGGATACTGCTCAACGTCAAAAGAGCTTACCTTTAAGTTTGGTCATTATGGCTTCTTCAATGTGAATCAATTGAAATTGTTATCGTATTTTCATCACATTCAGTTAGCATTAGTGCTGTAGATGGAAATAGTAGCAGCAGTGCAGTTGTATCAGTTCCATCAGTCATTTATACTTAGTTCTGGAATAAGTTATATCTTATCTTAAAACAAAGTAGTTATGTAAAGGTGGCACTGAGGAGTTTGGCTTGAAGGATGTGTTTGTTTTAAACCTAAGACAAGATGTCAGAGGACACCCTGTTTTACTGCTTGTTTACGAATAAATCATTTAACATCCCTCATGCTAACATGCTGCTCAGAGGAGACTTGAGGGCTGTTCACACATGCAGAGATTTAAAACAAAGAAGAAGGAAGTAATTCGTTTTCAATGAGAGTTGATGATTTCTGATGACATGAACGTCAGCGACAGAAGTTGAGCAAACGCCTAAAACATGTTTTTAGTTCATGTATTCATTTTTCGTCATCGTTTTTGTAGTTTACTTTCCACTTATATCCACTTATACCAATTCCCCC